ACTGAAGCGGAACTGTCTACTGCCAGTCGATTTAGAAGCTGCTGTTACTTTAGTGTTAACGTAAGCCTTCTCAGCGAAACAGATTAATCACGTGTGTAAAACAAAGGCACATTTTACCTTACATCAGTGGTGTTTGTTATTGAGCCGAGCAATACGGCTGACTTGCATTTTATTATCTACAGCATTATCGACAATGTTATGGTACACTTAATTAATGTACATGCGGACCATCAAGACCCACGTAACTTATATATATTGTAGTGTCTGTATAGGATATATGTGCATTCCTGTCATTGTATTCCGTTATACTTTTTGTATTTTTGCAAAATTATCTTATTAATATCCCATTACATCTTTCATAAATGTTTCTCAGTACCTGTATTTTTAGGCTTCTAGCACATGTATTTCGATATTTGTATTTTCAGAATACTTCAGGTCCCCATAGGCTGTCAGAACAGCTGTAGTGCCGTTCCGAAATTTTTTCTCAGCAAGCATATAAATGGAGGTCATGACATCGTTCGTCGAACCGTTCACCAAGCGCACATAGCATATAATACCGACCCCCCGCTGGTGGTGTGCTGCGGCAGCATCACTCTGAAACCCCTTTTTGGGCAAGACATCGTGTGCAGAACCATTCGCAGAGTGCATGCAGCGAGCATACCGATCATGCGCAGGCATTGTGCCAGCACTGTGGCACTCGTATCTAGAGGGCGTGCATACAATCCGTGTACAGCACGTTGCATTGCTCGTAAGCTGCTCATACTTGGACCGTTACAGCACTAGCACATCAATCAATGGTGCTATAGTTAGTAAAATAACATGATGCAGACTGGCTTTTAAGGAGCTTTGTTCCATCAGCATTCACTTCGTGGATCTGTAGTAAATTTTTTATTTATTCATTTTATCAAGAGAGACAGCTTTACGAACTAGGCACATACATTCACAGGGTGACTATAATCCTAAATCAAAAGGGAAAATAAACAATGTCAGAATTTTAAAAAATAACCAGAATTAAAAAAAATAACGTTGGATAATACAGCAGAAATGTGAGAACGTACTAGGGTTAAAAATGACTACAACAACACATAAAAAGAAGGCAATGGTTTTACCTAAATGAGAAAAAAAAGGATTATAAAAAGAATGACCTGCATTAGTAAATATATAGCAATTATAATACTTAAATGGAAAGGTGCTGTATTGATTGAAACAGCTGCACCGAACCAAGAAAAAGCAAAATTATTATATGACACTATACTTCAACGGGCCTCGCGACACATTTTTGACAGCCTTATTTAGCACCGGAACATGTGTAGGGATGATTACTGAACCGAATGCAACAAGAATTATAGAAATTGGTGCACGGAAAGGGAAGCTATGAGTCCTCAAAGTTCAAATCTGGAGCAGTTGACAAAGAGAAACGTTTTTTTTTTTTTTTTCGCATTTCACTCGCCTGCTGACGTCAAAGACCGCTTCCAATCACAGCGCAAGTTTCGTAAAAACATACCAGAATGATTACCTTCACACAATACCTCGCTACCGTTCTTTTTGACGCCATCGTTACCATAGTTAGTACGAACCACGTGTGTCAGATAACAGACGCTACCATGGTCACAATGTGTAAGATACACAGAAAGGCTTTGGGTGGGGTCACTTCTCGGCTTGCTTGCTAGACCCACTGTACGGCAACGCTGGCACCCACCGCTTGTCGTATTTTTGGCATGCTAAAAACGCGGTATGCGTTTCCACCTTTAGTGGCTGATGTACCATAGCCTCGTTCGCAGGCTAAGTGTTGTGTTCGTTGTTCTAAAAATACATCATTGAAAAACAGCAATGATTTTTTTGAGAAAGTGTAAAACGGGCTTTTGCTGTTTTTAGCATTCACACGTATGGCCTAGCTACCACTATGCTATTTGTAGCGTCCAGCCAACAAAACGTCGCATGACCCGACAACGCTTTCCATAAAAAAAATGGCAGCATATCCACGGAGTGAATGATGGAGAGTGGGGCAAAGCATTCGTCCGTCGATTTGTTCTTGCTTCCGTCTGTCCATGCATCCGTCTATGTGATCGTCCATCTGCCCGTTTGTGCGTGCGTCTGTTTGTGCGTCCGTCCCTGCGTTCGTTCATGCATCCGTTCATGCGTCCATCCATGCATCTGTCTGTGTGTCCGTTCGTCCTTCTATTCAACACTCCAAGTACGACCATCTCGCATATTTTCATCATATATTCCCCATATAGAAGCACCGCCATCCAACGGACATTGCAAGGACTAAACGAGAGGTGGCACATGCGCACTTTCTTACGTCTTGCGCTTCAGGTCTACTTCCAACCTTTAACCACCTCGAGTTCATGGTATATACTAGTTCAATGTATTCATGGCACTGCGGCCCAACGCTCGCTAAACCTTTCTAAAACCAAGGAGGTTACGTCCAGCGAGTATAATGTAGCAACCTTTTCCTGTCAGTTAGTGCTCAATATACATGCCAATGGCTGCTAATGGGAAATGAGAGACAGGAGAATTCAGCTTTTACTTTCTTACGGCTTGCACTTCGTATCTACTTCCCACCTTTAACCAACTCGAGTTCGTGGTATATACATAGTGTGCACATGCATCACGAAGCACCAATTAGTCGCTTCCGAAATGCGCCACCGACATGCCTGGGTACCTAACTCCATAGCCGATCGCTGCCGTTTTGTTTCCTCGTGCATGCGCCCATTCAGTTTTGCCTAACGATACAAGTTGGAGCAATTATCAGCTGCTGGTGAGGCAATTTGATATAACAGTCTACGAAGAGCGAGCAGAGAGTCAGGGTGTTGTCTTTGCCGAAAGTTATTACCTAAAATTGAGAACGCACACTGCGATATTCCGAAAAGCACTGGCATGTTTTGCCGGCACAGATTAACAAAAACGACTTGAACAACCGATTATATTTGCGTTTTCAGGTGTAACTTCATTACGGGTAAGTAATGAAGTTACACCCGAAGCACGTACCTGCAAACAGAGATAGGTACTGTATATACAAACTTGTCCGTGACCGCTGCGTGCACAATCAGCGTGTCAGGGAGGCGGTTAAAATTGTGAAGGCAATCATGGGAATTTAGGTATTGCATTCAAACAAAGTGTGAAAATAGATGTGAAACAATATTCGTTCACTCGCGATTTGAAGTATAGGCGATCGGTTCAAGTTGGGGGGTCAGATTTTTAAAAAATGGTCGATTGATTTTCTAAAACGGTCCGCGTGATTATCAGGGACAATACTGTACATTAGTGTACAACAACAAAAGTAATATACAAGATAAGAAATGAGTCAAAACATACGCGAAAAAAAAAGTGACTGGCATCAGCGCAGCACGCACCACGCAAAGTCTCTACCTTGCATAATATATTCCTTGGCTGTTTCCACGAATTCCAATAAAAAACGCTCAACATCGTCACTGTTTAAAACACTCGGGGAGCCGCATTGCTACTTTGGTGGTGTGGGACGCAGCAACATATTAAAATTGGTATTAATAATATATTTCCTGTAAACTTGCCTAGCTCTGCACGATGACTCATTTTCGATGGGAGCTGTGCGCTTCGCTCATCCAATTTTAAAATTGTGGCTCGAGAGACCTGGAGCTTTCACTTGTTCTTAGACCACACAATTTGTAGTGAAAGCGATATAATGGGCCCTCGTAGATCGTGGCAGCCAGCCGGTGTACACGGTGGCTTGTATACGTGTCACACGTTTTGATTTTCAGGTCTTGTATCAAGTGAACAAGCGAGGCCTTCCTGACCCGATGAGCTCGTTAAAGCATGACAACAACAACAAAAAAAAACGCACGGCTTCTCTTCAAACATCGCGCACAGCAACAGATGACGAGCCCTCAACAAACCGCGCTGCAGCACGCAAACTGCTGTAGGTACCCAGCGAGGTACCCGGGCATGGCGGGAGATGGCGACAACGGCCGAAGTGACATCACTTGAACACTATGTATACTAGTTTATTGTGTTCATGGCATTGCGGCTCAACACTCGCTAAACCTTTCTAAAACTAAGGAAGTTACACCCAGTGAGTATAACGTAGCAACCCTTTCTTGTCAGATAGTGCTCAATGTACATGCCAATGGCTGCTAATGGGGATCGCAGCGTGCGCGTTAACTGAAAGCCGAATGCTCCTGTCTCTCATTTCCCCTTAGCAGCCATTGGCATGTGCATTGCACACTATCTTTTATTGTTTTTAGCGTTCAACAACGCACAGAATAAATATCTCACCGGCACCACCTTGGAGGTCAAATTGTTATACTTGTTACACACTACAACGGCTACGGGGGACAAACGGGTGCCGCTATAAGAAGCTTCGCCCCTAAAAAATTGCCGATGTGTGTCGCCGTAGTCCGAAATCAAGACAGTTTCTCCCGTGAATTAAAATTATAACAGCATAGATTTTGGCGTTGCCATTTGCGAAACGATATCGGCGCATTCCACAGCACCAGAAAAATAAATGAAAAATACATTGTGTCGCAGGGCCCCTTGAAAGGAGAGGCACTACGTAAAAACTAGATGATTATACGTGTCCTTCCTTATCGTGAAGGGTCTATAACTGTGTGTTAATGCACTTGTCACCAGTCTTTAAAATATGAAACAATTTTCTTTCTATCTTATTTTGCAGTATATTCCTTTCAGGCTATTTTATTATTATTATTTCTCGTGCAGTTCTATACACGAAGCAGAGGTTTGAATTCCACTATGTTTATTGTAAATATTTTTACTGTGAGTACTTGATGTGTGGTTACTTTTAAAGCAAAAGCTGCTAAATAATCACGCAATATTTTGTACGCCGAATTTCTTCAAGGAATGTTTTTTCAAGATATGTGACCTTTTTATCAAGCTTTCTTAGAAATATATTTCATTTCGTTTTTTAACTTTTGGTTACTTATACATTTTTAAAGCCAGTCAACTTTAGTTTTTTTAATAAACACCAAATGAAAGCATGTGCCTTTACCTTCATTTTGAAATAGGGACTTGGCCGTCCACGTGAGGTGCCAGCTGCGCCCGTCCCGGAAAGCACCCCAAGCTGCAGCAAGGACCCCACTACCAAGCTAAGCAGGCTACACGGCTGCTTGTGGCATCGTATTAGAAGAGCAGCAGAAGAATTTCTCTTTTTTGAAGAATTCCATGCTGTATGCTCATCTATTTGTCACCCAAGGCAAAGACAGGCAGCAGCAACAGTGTTTCTTGAACAGTGCTTGAAGCGTTCAACTGTGGGACATGTATTCAGCAACGAGTCCCGTTGTTGGGCTTTTTTGAAAGATTCCCGTGTAGTTTGTTTGCTGCCATGACAGTATTTAAGGTAGGAGGGCAAGTGACTGATATTTTTTCTGAACAATATTTACTAGAAATGTCATGTTCTACAACATAAACCACATCTTTTTAGGAACATGTGAGGGTTATAAAGCAACTCATATTTTTGTTAATTTTTCGTAATTTTTTTATTTCAGTAAAAGTATGCCTCGCGCAAACTCTCCATACTCAAGCTCTGCTCGTTAAAAAATATGCATTGTTTACAGGTACATATAAGAAGCTTTGGTCTTTACAATCAACCAAAACTAATGAGATCTGATGAATAGAAAAAATATATAATGGTTAAATAACTAAAAAAAGTATACACTAGTACTAGGAGCACCGTTATGTAACAGGCAGCCATATTAAATCTCGCGGCACGATTTTTCGATTTTTTTCATTGAGGTTCATTGTATGCCTAGCAATGTGATGAAGTGTTTTAAGTTTTAATAAAAAATGTTAATTGACAAGTCTGCATCAACTGTCGTATGCAGCAGACACTTCCGCAATGAGGGCTATGTGTCTGCGTGCCAAGTCAGAAAACTTCTTCCTGACTCCGCGCCTACTCTCTTCAAGGACTAGTTTTCACTTCTCAGGGTTCGTACAGGTCTTTGAAATCCTTGAAAATCCTTGAATTTCAAAATTTTATTTTCAAGGCCCTTGAAAGTCATGGAATTTTTTGCCATCCTTGAAAATCCTTGAATTTCCTGAGCAGTGCACTCTGATATCGTCATCGCGACGTCCTAAATGTGGTACATCGGTGTGTGAACCTGTCAAACTTCCTATTTCTGAAGCAGTAATGCAGCGTGGGTGCACATGATCCCATTTTGCAAAGGGGCATGTGAAAAAAAAGAGTTAGTTTCTGGTGAGGGTGAAGCAGTGAGTGTGATAGCAAGAAATTAGAATGTCACACGAAGAAGGGCAAGCAACCCCATACATGCAACGCGCCGCTCAACAGGACGAGTGCTAACTGTCATAGCTTGACACTGAAAGCGCGCTACTTCAACAAACAAAGAATGGTGCTCGAAAAGGACACACATGTATCCACAGGATGAGTGTAAATTAATCACTGTCCCAGTTGTTACTTCCTAATTGTTGAGCAACGTGCTGCGATTGTCAACTGTGCACAAGCTGACACTCTTGATGGAATGGTGCCACAAAATCTCAAGGCTATAGCAAACGCAGTGTGTGTTTAAAAATATATTTTGTCACTTCCCAAGGGTACCTAAATGCTCATTCTCCTAATCGAGACCTATCGCGAGCGCGTCCAACACTGACCTAGCTCTACAGGAAAGGCAACAAAAGTTCTAGTGATGTCACACCAGATCTGTAGTCAGCTGAGCGACCTCTGAACTTCCGCCCCGTACATACCGGCAAAGCATCATGGCTGCTGCTAGTAGAGGAGAGCTTGTTTTGCAGGTGCTTGTGTGGCACATGTATGCGAGAGCTGACAATACTCAGCATGACGTGTGCAAAGCTTTGGGATCACAAGACTAAGTCCGCTACACTACTATGTACCTGCACGACTCGGTCCCCACACACGAAGTAAAAATTGTCCATATCAAAAAAAGGTGACAAATTAAATAGCGTGAATAAATTAATATTTGTGGGTGTATCGTGCTTATTGGAGCTATAATTAAAGCTTGCAGCAAAGAGCACGCAAGCCACAAATATTGTGGCACAACCCCTTTAAGGCCCGACTACACATGTGCGTTGAAGCCCATCAGCGCGTAACTTCCCAACATCACATCGTGCCCTCTCCCTATCGAAAGGCAGCGAGAAGTTATAAAGATTACGCTCTTCTTTTTTTATAAATGTGATATTCATATTGTGACGGAGCGAGGTCTTGGCTTACAGGACAGCGTCCACCGAGAGTCGGCAGCCGAACAAGATGTCTGAGTTGCCTCTCGTGCAAGCGCCTAACGCACAGGCGTCTTCTTCATCTTCGCTAAGTGCCACGCTTGCTCCTGTCCATGATGCACCGTAACATCACTCCCCTGCGGCGGAAGCGCAGTCACGGCGCTTAGTACGGCGGCGACGAACGAGGAGGGTGATACGGTTTCAGTCTGGAAACGTGTACAACGTCTGCCTGGAGTGAGGTGGTCGAAAAGGCATTGTTTAAGGGTGCGATCTCGTAGCTCACGTCACTAAGTTGTCGTAACACTTTGTAGGGGCCATGGTAGTGTGATAGTAGCTTCTCTGATAAGCCGACTTGGCGGTTTGGTGTCCAGAGAAGTACCAGAGACCCCGGCGAGAAGTGCACGCTTTGGTGGCGACTGTCATAGCGGTCTTTTTGCTGCGCTTGCGACAAGTGCAGCCGATCACGGGCAAGCTGACGGGCTGCATGGGCTCGAGAAACGACATCGCTGGCGTACTCAGTAGACAAGGGGGCAGCCGAAGGAAGGAGCGTGTCAAATGGTAATGCTGGATGTCGGCCAAATAGCAAATAAAACGGCGAATAACTAGCTGTGTCGTGCCGTGAAGAATTGTACGCGAACGTGACAAAGGGGAGTGCTTTGTCCCAGTCACGGTGATCTGGCGAAACGTACATTGACAGCATCTGCGTCAGCGTTCGGTTCAGACGCTCGGTCAATCCATTTGTCTGTGGATGATAAGCGATGGTAAGCTTGTGCTCAGTGGAACAGGCGCGGAGAATATCATCCACAACACGTGAAAGAAAGTACCTTCCTCGATCAGTAAGCAGCTGCCGCGGAGCGCCGTGATGAAGAATGACTTCATACAAGAGAAAGTCAGCGACGTCAGTGGAACAGCTTGTCGGCAGTGCTTTAGTGATGGCAAAGCGTGTGGCGTAGTCTGTGGCGACTGCAACCCATTTATTTCCGGAGGTGGACGTAGGAAACGGGCCCAACAGGTCAAGGCCAACACGAAAGAATGGTTCCGTTGGTATGTCAATGGGCTGTAGGAGGCCAGACGGTAGCACAGAGGGGCGCTTGCGGCGTTGGCAGCGGTCGCAAGCAGTGACGTAGCGAACCACAGAACGATACAGTCCGGGCCAAAAAAAGCGACGTCGCACACGATCGTAGGTACGAGAGACGCCTAGGTGACTGGCTGTAGGTACGTCATGTAGTTGTTCGAGAACGCTGGTACGCAGGTGATGGGGAAGCACGAGTAGTAATTCCGGGCCATCAGCGTTGAAGCTGCGACGGTACAGAATGTTGTCGTGCAGTTCGAACAGGTGAACGGAAGGGTCTGTCGGAGCAGAGGTCAGACGCTCGATAATGGAGAGTAACGACGGGTCACGTCGTTGTTCGGTGGAGATATCACCCAAAGCGTGGATGGAGAGAACGCAGGGGTCTGAATCAAGGTCTGTCAAGTCGGGCGTTTCAACCGGATAACGTGACAAACAGTCTGCGTCTGTGTGGAGGCGTCCCGACTTGTAGTGGACCACAAATGAGTATTCTTGCAGACGGAGCGCCCAGCGACCAAGACGTCCAGATGGGTCCTTTAGCGATGACAGCCAGCAAAGAGCGTGATGGTCCGTAACAACGGAAAAAGTTCGGCCATACAGGTAAAGCCTGAATTTCGCCACGGCCCACACTAAAGCTAGGCATTCACGCTCACTGATGGAGAACTTCCGTTCGGCAGGTGAAAGAAGACGACTGGCGTAAGCAATCACGGGGTCCTTCCCGTGCTGTCGTTGGCCAAGGACCGCTCCAATTCCATGGCCACTGGCATCAGTCCGAAGCTCTGTAGGTGATGCTGGGTCGAAATGGGCTAGTACTGGTGGCGTAGTCAGCAGATGGATAAGAGCCGAAAAGGCGTCCGCTTGCTCTATACCCCATGCGAAGGGAACGTCCTTCTTTAAGAGATCAGTAAGCGGTCGAGCGATGTCGGCGAAGTTGCGGACAAATCGACGAAAATAGGAACATAGCCCTACAAAACTTCGGACGTCCTTGGTTGAGCGTGGTTCAGTAAATTGTTGTACTGCTCGCAACTTTTCGGGATCTGGTTGAACACCATCGGCACTGACAAGGTGGCCGAGTATGGTGATTTGGCGACGTCCGAAATGGCATTTTGCAGAATTTAGCTGGAGAGCAGCTCTTCGAAAAACATCCAGAACAGCTGACAGACGTGTTATATGGCTGTCAAAGGTGGGCAAAAAGACGATGACATCGTCTAAATAACATAAGCAGATGGACCACTTATATCCTCGGAGAAGGGAGTTCATCATGTGCTCGAAAGTTGCCGGCGCATTACACAGTGCAAACGGCATGACTTTGAACTGGTAGAGGCCGTCGGGCGTAACGAAAGCGTTTTTTTCACGATCCATGGGGTCGACGGAAATTTGCCAATAGCCGGATCGAAGGTCGATAGAAGAAAAGTATTGGGCACCATGGAGGCAATCGAGGGCGTCATCAATCCGAGGCAAAGGGTAGACATCTTTGTGGGTCACTTTGTTTAAATGGCGATAGTCCACGCAAAAGCGCCAGCTGCCATCTTTCTTCTGAACGAGCACGACTGGGGAGGCCCAGGGGCTGGATGAGGGTTCTATTACGTTTTTAGTAATCATTTTATCCACTTCACTTTGAATTACTTGGCGTTCCTTGTGAGATACGCGATATGGACGCCGCCGTATAGGACTGGCATTACCAGTGTTGATCCGGTGAGTCACTGCAGTTGTTTGGCTGAGAGGGCGGTGGTCAAAGTCGAAAACGTCTCTATATGATGTTAGCAGACTACGGAGGTTGGCAGCTTGCACTGCAGTGAGGTCGGGAGCAATCATCTTGTTAATGTCATCTGCAGGCAGAGTGTAATTGCGGCCAAGACAGGGGGATGTAGTATCGGTGTCCAAACCAGTAACGTTGCAGCTGTCAAGTGGAGATAGGGTGGCCAAAGACATGTCTTGCGGAATAACTTGAGTGAAGAGACTCACGTTGAGTAGTGGTATAACCACTGTATTATTAGCGACGGCGACAACAGTGTGAGCAAGGGTGATGTCTCGGGCCATCAGTACGTCGACTATAGGAGTGACGAGGTAGTCACTGTCGGGCACATGACGTGAGCACGACAAAGTGACATATGTAGCAGCTTGCGGAGGCAAGCGAACGTGGTGACGAGAGCGTAAACGGGGAGAATAGTCTGCTAGAAAATCGGCAAACTGCGGCAGTTCAAGCTGAAGAGCACCAGTGGCGAGATCGGGCCGTGAACTGCTGCTCGCGATAGGACGAGGGTGGACGCCATGAAGCTCGCTGCGGGCTGGGCAAAGCGCACACCGAGGGAATACCTATGCTGGCGAGTTCTTGGCGGACGATGGCTTGAACCATGTTAGCAGTGAGTGGGGTGGTGTCACTTGCAGCGGTGTGAGCCGGAGCAGAGGCAATGGCTTCAAGTTCGCGCCGTACAATTCGGGTCACCTGATCCGATGAATCTAGAGGTGGTGGCTGTGTTCTTGCACGGTCTTCGCAAGATGATGTTGCAGCCGTATTCGGAAGGCGGGTGAACACACTGT